TTTAGTGATGTTATAATAATAATAATAAATTCTAGCAATAAGTTTCTGCTAGATGTCTCTATAAAATGATCTCTAAGTTCTCTTTTCTGGTTCTAAAATGTATCTGGTAGCTCGTCAGAGCATTTGATTGTGCCATGTTCTGTCTACGTATAAAATGACATCTTGACACTTCTTTTCCTTTGCAGAAAATGGTCAGAAAATCTCTAGGGAGGAGAGTGTGAATGGTGTTTTGATGCTTGACTTTCTTTGCTTGCCTTATCACAAACTTTCCGGAAAGCACGAATGGAGTCTGATAATCTTGTTTGGAGCCTGCTAAGAAGTCCAGTCATCTAATAATAGCTATCCCAGGATGAATTGACAAAGTAGCCAAAACACTCACCTGAAAACTATTCCCTTTGACTGAACATATATTGAATTTCTCAGTATGGTAAGCTGGAAGACACAGTTAAGCTGGAAGACACAGTGTAACAACTCTGCACCATTTATTTTTGAGAGCCTACTGTGTGTGAGGCCACGTTCGAGGGGTTATGATAGAGGAGGAACAACAGAAACAAGTCTCTTCTCTCACAAGCCACACAGATGCTGATTAAGTGTTAAGAAAGAGAAGAAAAATGAAGCAGGAAATGAGTATAGACTGTGATCACAGTAAGTGGTCTGTTTTACGTAAGATAGCAAGGATGGACCTTTTTGATTTGCGGCCCCTATTTGAACACAGATCTGAATTAAATGAGGGAGCAAAAACTGATACACACTCAAATAAAGCTCAGGGAGTGTGGCTATCTGGGTGAAGAAAAGTTTTCAGCAGAAAGAACAGCCAGTACAAAAAATGAGGAATGACACGGGGGTCAGTGGGGCTGGAGAAGAGAGTGAGTGGCAGAAATTAGGGTCAGAGAAATCATATAAGACAGTGAATTGTATTTTAAAAATTTCTTTTGGAGTATGGTTGATTTACAACGTTGTGTTAATTTCTGGCACACAGCATAGTGGAGTTGTAGTAGAGAATAACCTTTGTTTTGTTGGAGGTCTGCAGGGACACCATGACCTGGCCCACGGGGATGGCTGTGAGAACAAAGAATGCCTGCAGCAAGAGGATTACAACAATCAACCACACTCCCCCCCATTATTTTCCCTCCCCCTCCCTTATTTTTTGTATAAAAGGAGCCTGCATTCTGACTAGAGCAGGATGATTCTCCAAGACGTTAGTGTGCCATCCTCTCTGTCAGCTGGCTTTCTGAATAAAGTCGGTATTCCTTGCCCCAACACCTCGTCTCCTGATTTATTGGCCTGTCGTGTGGCGGTGAGCAGGAGTTTGGACTTGGCAACAATAAGACAGTGAATTGTATTTTCAAAATTTCTTTTGAAGTATAGTTGATTTACAATATTGTGTTGATTTGTGGTGTACAGCAAAGTGAAATTGTACTTTTTATTTTAAATTATTTTAAGGTAAAAATTCACATACAGTAAAATGCTAAGTACACAAATAAAATACAGACTATTTCCATTACCCCAGAAAATTCTGTGACCTATTCCAACCATTCCAGTCCGCCCATAGATAATTGCTCTGTTTTCTATCACCAGCGGTTAATTTTATCTCTTTTTGAACTTCATTTGAATGGAATCACACAATACACACTTTTTGGTGTCTGGCTTCATTTTTTTTTTTTAAAGATTCAATCATGTTCTTAGGGGTATCAGATATTCATTCATTTTTATTTGTGTGGAGTATTCCATTGTGTAACTATATCACCATCTGTTTATCAAATCTCATTGATATTTGGGTTGCTTCCAATTTGGGAAAATTGTAAATGAGCTCCCATGAATATTCATGTATAACCCCTTTTGTGGATCTCTGTTGTCCTGTCTCTTACATAAATAGTTAGGATTGAGGTTTTGTGATTAAAGGACAGGTACGTGTTCAACTATGTAAAAAGCTTCTTTATGAATTTTTCCAAAATAATTTTGCTATTTACACACCCTCTACAATGTATAAAAGTTTCAGTTCTATGCTGTTGTCATTGTCTTTTTAATTTTAGCTCTTTTAGTGGGGTAAAGTAGTGTTTTTTGTTGTTATTGTTTAAATTTGTACTTTCCGGACAGTTAGTGACGACATTAAGCACTTTTTCCTGTACTTGTTGGACATTTATTTACCTTTTTTATGAAGCCTTTGTTCACGTCTTTTCTCCCATTTTAGTTGGATTGCCTTTTTATTATTGATCAGTAGGAGTCGTTTATATGTTCAGGTTGTCTGCCTGGTGAGATAGTGTCTCCAATAGTGGATCCTTTTAATGAATGTTACCATGCGATATGAAAACTGTGACACTTGGTGCTCATTCCCATATGAACATACTCATGTTTCTTTCCCAGATCTGTTTGTTCCTGGTTTTCCAATCTTTCCTCTTCTAGGTTGCTGACTAGCTTATCAAGCCATTTGCCATTGCCCATGATTCTGTGTATTTTCTAAGCTCAGCTTGGGCAACTTCTCTTTCCATGCAAAGTAGATGACCAGGTCATTGCCCAGTCCTTTGCCTGCTGGGAAGAGTTCCCTCATTCCTGCCTTCCAAGGCCTGCACCAGGATATTAAGCTAATCCATTTGTGAACCAAGCTCAAACCTTTCATCCGCCATTGGCTAGTGATAATGGATTCCCTGTGTGACCTGAGGGACAGGCACCGGGGAAACAGGAGTGGGTGATGGGTGTATCTAGACTAGCTGCTTAAGTAGCTCATTTGTTCTGTTCGTTCTTGCTTGTTCTGGATTCCATACATACATCTTCCAATTTTCTGTGGATTTCTTTTCGGCCTTTTTAAAAACCCTATGTTTTAGTGGATCCAGCAGAAATCAGCTCAGGGTAGGCTGTTCTGTCTGCATGGTCACTTAATATCCTATCAGAATATAAATTTCTGGCGCAGGTGAT